CCCGGGCGGGCTGGGGAGGGGAGCCCCAGGGGAGGAAACCGGGGCCAGTTCCTAAGGCGGGGGTGTTCGCCGGAGTCTTGGGGTCCGAACGCGCCCCTCCCGGATCTTTGCACCCCAGCTCGGAAGATTGCTCCCGCCCTTTGACCGGCTTTAAGCCTTTCAGCCCTTGGGAACTCAGTTTCTCAGATGATACTCTTCTGGCCTTTGGGGTTCCTTGGTCCCTGATGCCCTTCTGGCCATTGGGGTCCCTGGTCCCTGCTTCCTCTGCCTTTTCCTTTTCTCGGGGTTTTCTTCCTAGGAGTTTGTTAGAACAAAAATCTGTCGCAGATGATCCTACAAGGGAGAATGGGATGTCCCTAGTGGGAGACCTTAGGCAGGAGGGTCTTTCTCTCCCCTGCCCCTCTTACCCCCCACCCCAATTGCTTAGATGAGACCAACCTGCTTCTTGAGGCAGGTTGGTGGCCAGGCTAGCCAGAACATAGTCTCTTGACTCCAAACCCTGGACTTTGGCATAGTGGGGGTGAGCTTGCTTTCAGAGGGGAAAGCAGGGGCCACCGATGAGTTTCCAGTTATGAGTGAGGCAGAGCTTCTTCCCCTGGGGCCCAGGGAAACCCCCAGGGGCCCAGAGAGAAGCATTTCCCCATGTCACAGGCTGGCTCTGAAGGGGAACTCTGCTGATGCTGCTGGGCTCTCCCAGGGCCTTGCCTGGCGGGAATTTCAAGGGGAAGAAGGAGAACCACTGACAGAGCCTGCCTCCTCCACAGCCCCCAGCCCATCAGCATGACACCCTCTCCCCAGATGGCAGGGGCCTGGGACCTTTGGCAGGAACACTCCAGCAATCAGAAGCAGAACCGGGTGATCGCACCCCTTCTGCCCTCCCCCACCCCAACGTCAGCGGATGTGGTGAGGCCAGGTGTGAAGGAGGATCTGAGCCCTGGGCTGGGGGCAAGAAATGCTGGTGGGTGGCTGAACTCCTAAGCAGAGGAGTTCAGGTAGGTGGGGACAGTGTGGAGCTGGAGCTGATCCAACCAGCCACCAGCTGCGTGGGATTTTAGAGCCCAATCCCCAGGTGCCTTTTATAAGACCCTTGCAGTTCCCCTGCAGGCCCCCATCTCCCCATTTTTCTTGGAGGGCTACATCTAGGACCTGTGTGGGCCCCCAGTCCCCTACGGGATTCCTCACCATGGTGTGTTGATGTGTCCCTGTGTCGGAGCATAATTTATGTGCAGTTCCTATGTGTTTGAGATGGAGCTTGAAACGTGTATGTGCTGGGGGGCACCAGGCATGCCGGGGAGAGAAGCCCGGAGTCGCCAAGGATTCCTGGGCTACCCGCCCTCTCGAGCCTCAGCATCCCCCTCCGTAAGATGGGAGCGCACAGCAAACCAGCCCTTCTCCCACAGGAGCTCCGAGGCTGTGGGCGATGCAGCCGAGGCCCCTCGCCTCCCGGCTGGCTGGGCCAATCTGGAGGCTGATGCAGCAGGGCCCACAGCAGAGCCAGGGAGTCTGGGCCACAGATGCCAGTGGCTGATAGGGGCACTTATCCTTGCCATCGGCCAGCCAAATGACTTAATGCCCGCTTCCAGGGCAAATTACAGAGCGTGCAGGGGGAGCGTCAGGTCCAGTCTTGCTGACCTATGGGGCCCGCGTCACCTGCCCTGCTGGAAGCCTCAGCCTTCCAGCTTTGTGGCAGGGAGTGGGGGGGCCGGGCAGCTGGGATCCCTGACACAGGAGTGAAATCCACTCAGCCTGCTGGAGGCTCCAGAGCCAACTCCCACGCCTCTTACCTCCTGGGGCCTGGCGTGTCCCTTGCAGAGTGGGAGGGCACTGAAGAAGGCGATTTGCACCAATGGCACAGTCCCTGGGAGCATGCCCAGGGCTGCGTCTATGAACTCTCTTTGAGACGGTCCCTCCTTCAGCTGTGGAACGCAGGCTCAGGAGGCCTGATTAGCCATAGAGGAGGGGCCCCCCTTGGCCCTCTTCGCCTGTTTGCAAAGGGGCACCTCCCACCCCAACACCTGGGTGAAAGCCCAAGGCTGGGGTAGAAGAGCCCACGTCCCTTCCCACTTCTCTGACTAAAGATCCCCTGACCCTTGAGCAGGAGGTCCGCTCCCCGCCTCCAGGACCCCTGTCCCTTGGAGTTGACCCTTGGGAGCCCAGCAGAGAAGAGGCAGGGTCTGGGCACATGGTGGACAGCGGGAGGGGTTAGACTGGGAGCCTCACAGGCTGCTGTTCTAGAGGGAGGACCCCACTCCTCATCCCCAGACGGTGAGGGGACCACGGCATGAGGTCGGGTGCCACACTCAATTTCTTCTGGTTTTGTTGGGTTTTTCCCAGCCTGAGTGTCACAGAGCATCTCTACCAAGTAAGTTTGAGGAGCCATTTTTTTTTTTTCTTTTAAATTAAAAACCTGTGAGACACAGCTGGTCACTATGGTGGACGCCTGTAATCCCAGACTCGGGAGGCTGAGGCAGGAGGATTGCAAGTTCGAGACCAGCCTCAGCAACTTAGCAAGACCCTCACTCAACCTAAAAATTCAAAAAGCTAATAAGTAAATAAAATTTAGATTCCCCTGAAAAAGAAAGAAAGAAAGAAAAGAAACCTGCGAGAGCCAACTGGACCGTGTGATGACGCTTTGTGATATCCTTTTGGTGACTGTAGAGAGTGCTTCATCGTCGCCCACCTCCTGCCTTTTGGATTCCTGGTATGTCCACCCAGCCCCACGCAAAGAGGGTTTCCCTTCCACAGTGGTGACGCTGCGAGTTCCCTGCTGATGTGGCCCGGAAGTTTCCTTCCTGCTCCTTCCTAACACACCCCAAGCAGAGGCCAGGATGTGCGTGGCTTGGCCGAGGTGCCTGGGCAGAGCCGCCAAAGGTGAGAGGCAGGCGCCAGCCCCTCCTGAGGAGGGGTCAGGCCTCAGACGAGGATGCCAGCTCGGTGGCCACCCCCACAGGCTCCTGCCACACAGGGGCCCAGAGTCCCTGTGCCCTGCTCCAGTGATGGCCTAGCCCAGCACATGAGGGGGACACAGAGAGTCACCAGCCTCCTCCTGGGGAAGGGTAGAGGAAGCCTCCAAGGCTGGCTCAGAAGTGGACCTGCAGTGGCTGAGGCTGCTGTCACCTGCTGGGGACGAGCCCTGCACCTCCCCCACCCACCATGCAAATGTCAGGAGAGGACCTCAGCACTTCCTATCCTGTCACAGCCACTTCACTCAGGCCCATCTGCATTTATTCATTGACTTGGGCCTTCTTTCCAAACCTGGCACAGTGGTGCACACCTGTAATCCCAGCAGCTCGGGGAGGCTGTGGCAGGAGGATCGCAAGTTCAAGGCCAGCCTCAGCAACTTTGTGGAGCCCTGTCTCAAAAAGGTATGGGGATGTGGCTCAGAAAGTGTGCCCCTGGGTTCAGACCCCAGACAGGAAAAAAAAAAATTGTATTCCAAGTCCCTTACGCCCTGGGTCTGTTCCGAATGCTGGAGATGCAGGAGTAAGTCCCAAACCACCGCCTCTGGGGAGCTGAGCTCATCGTTCCCATCATATTTACTTTTGTGATTATGTTGTGTCCTGGCGAGTGATAGTAGTCATCCACTGAGAGTAATGATACCTTTTCCTTTTAAAATAAATTTTAGGTTTGTAAAAACTGAGTTGACTTCAGGAAGACCATTAGGGAATAATAACACAGAAGGTTCTGGAACACCTCGACAGGCTCAGATGCCGGCAGGAGACACCAAGTCGGAGCACCCTGCCCAGGACGGGCCCTGCTGCTCCTCCCGCCCTGGCATGGAGCAGCTCTGCGGTTGGGCAGGGTCTGCTGCTCCCTCCCACATTGGTCTCCTCTAAAGACAGGAACATGAGGCACCCAACGAGGAGGAAGCCGTGGCCGGGAAGGGACCCTGGAGGACAATCCCATTGGCAGGTGGCAAAGGGTCTTTAAGGCGCAAAGGAGCCAGAGATTGCTCCCTTCCACCTTAGGTAGCCACTGACCCATGCTGAGCCCTCTGACACTCCACTGAAGACCTGCGACAGCTACAGTGACAGTCACGGTGGCATGAAGAGGACAGCCAAGGCTCCTGCCCTCTGAGATGACCTTGCAATGGGAGCAGAGACCAGACAAAAAATAAATAAATGAGATCATGCCAGAGAGCGGCATCCCAGGGAGAAAAGCCATGGCTGGAGAGGGGACATGGGACACCCTCGCCTTCTGCTGTAACTTGCAGGGTGGCGAAGGGCCAGCCCAGGAGGAGGCAGGCAGGAGAGGGCCCCGCGGTGGAACA